CTGGGCAGCACTATGCTGCCACTCATGCATGTCATGAGCAGTAGTCTGTGTCGTACACTCTTATTCGAGTCGCAGCTAGGCTGCAGTCTGCCGTACCTGCTTTCGAGACGATCACGCAGCTGATCAGTGAATCATGCAGCCGTGCAGTCGGACCCGAGTGGCGGATATTCTGGGATTGTGGCTGAGTCTAGAGCGGAAGGAAATCGGGTGGAATTTGAGGGTCAGGCTGCTACTGTATGTATGTACAGTAGCTGGTCCAGCACAGCAGCTGTAGTGACGCGGCAATCGAACAAGTGGATCGGGCGTGGGGAAGGCAAGCACGCTCGAGGAAGAGAACTACACTAAGCCCATGCAGTCACGAGTTCTCTAGCTCGAGCCTGGGCCCCCCCGTTGATAGGCGGAGTAGCGGAGAGGCACCGAAGAGTACAGTATGCAGGCGGAGTGCCTGCTGGGCGCTGGCAGCGCTGATCGATCCACATTCGTGATTTCTCATCCCGCCGCTGTCCGCGGGTAGAACTGGGCTGGCTCTTGGGCGCGGCTCCTTGACGTGCTGCTTCTTGCTCTCTCTCTGCTTTTCGTGGCTTTGGCCGAGGCTTGTGCGGAGTTCGCTCGGTGATGCAGACTAAACAGCCAAACCCTACTTTGCTATGCAGTGACATGGTCACTGACCAGTCAAGAGTCACCCTGCGCGAGCATGCAGTAGTAGTCCTACTTCACCTGCGATCGACTTCGCCTCCCGCCGCAGGCAGCTTTCATCACCACTCATCATGCGCACGATCGGCGAGCAAATTCGAAGATAGCAGCATGGCCGTAAAGCAGAGCGGTTTGTAATTAACCACATGCGCATGCATGCCTGGCTAACACGCGCTGTGTTTCAGTCTCCGCCGCATGACTTAATCTGAATCAAGGGCACGAAGTGCCTCCTGGGTTTCTTGCTGCTTCATTGGTGATGCAATGTATACTCGTGACTTGTCACTGTTGCTCCGCGCTTTGCATCCGTTTCGAACACACGAGACGTCCAGGATCGTGAGTAGAGTTCGGGGGAGCGCTGTGCCGCTGCAGACCTTGAGCTGAGCTTGTCGCCCGCGCTGAGAGGCATGCCAACCGTGAATCGTGAATGCGGCACAGCACGGCTTGCAAGCCCCTGGGCTCATGCGTTCAAGTGGTGTCGACGTTCAAGAACCGCTGCATACCATCTCTACATGCACGGGACCGGCGTTGGGCTGTGAGTCGGTCAAATTATGTAAAAAGCTCATGCATGCACCACAGAGAGCCGCATGTTTGGTGCTCGACGCTGCCTGGCTTGGCTTAGGATCAAAATACATGCGCCTCAACACTGCCTGTCTTGGCTCAGCATCGAATGATTCTTGATTGGATTGCCAAAGTCAACACTCGAGACCATGCTCATCATTGTGTATCGACAATGCTGAGGAATACAGAACTGGTGATGATAGTTCATGTTATTTGAGGATTCAATGGTTGATATAGCGTCCTCATTTGGAGATGCAGCCGCCGTCAAATTCCAGCAGCGACACCGTGATGTACGCCTGTCTGCCTTTACGGTTTCATCGTTCTTTGATTCACGATTCGTTGCGCGGATACATCCTAGCTGACGGACGACCGACCGCGAGCGAACAGCAAGCTGTCATCTCCCCACAAGGTCCTAGCATCTCAAAGACCAAAGCAGCTGACATTGAAGCTGTTGATGGCTGCGTCAATTCCAACGGATCGGTCTCATCTCGTGATTGCGAGGAGAAGAGCAACTCAGACTGGTCGCGCAAGCTCAATCACCAAGCCACACACACACCGTCCGTTCAGCATGTGCGGCGGTCTGAGCCGTAAGCGCGGACGCTGGGGCCGCGGTCGACGACAAAGGCCTGGAGCGCGAGTCTAGAACGACGCCGCTGAGTGGCCCGTCATGCAGCCTTGCAGATTTCTGTGACACTCGAGAGATGCCTTGCTTGCAAAGACATCAAGTCTGTGTCATGCAGCAGCTTATACCTACAGTAGGTGGCCATGCAGATGCAGGCACCTCGGTGGTGCAGCTGATATATGGGTTTTACATACTCGTGACTGTATGGCTCGGAAAATTATAGGTTGGCGCGCGCGGTTGTCGGAGCTGTTGGTGCTCAGAAGCTTCAAACACTCACAACAGACTCTCGGTCACCTTTGCGGGCGCCGCTCGACGGGCACCTAACTTCGTTGTGATTCCTTCTCAATGACGAGCTGGTGACGCGTGTGGAGCACGACAAGAACGCATCGTAGATGGTACATTATTGTTCCATCGAGAAAGGCTTCCCTCCTCGTTCCCTGAGGCGGGCGACCTGCTGGTGGTGGTCGATGCGAGGATGCGACTCATGATGACCCACGACTGCATGTGTGAGCAAGTGCGACAAGTCTCTGGACTTTTGGCACGACAGGCATGACCTTTCTCCGCGGAACTTGGTCCAATTCAAA